AAAAAAGAACAAAGCCAGAGGCATCATACTGCCAGACCTCAAAATATACTACATAGGTATAGTAACCAAAAGAGCATGGTACTGGCATTAAAACAGACACATAGAACAATGGAACAGAAAAGAAAACCCAGAAATTAATCCACATATCTACAGCTAACTGATTTTGGACAAAGGTGTCAAGAACATTCGTTGGGGAAAAAAACAAATCTTCAATAAATGGTGCTGGGAAAACCGGATATCCATATGTAGAAGAAGTAAACTAGGCCACACCTCTCACCCTATACAAAAATAAACTCCAAACGGACCAAAGACCTAAATGTAAGGCCCAACATGATAAAATTGTATATAGAAGAAAACATAGGGAAAACACTTCAGGACATTGGGAAAGATTGTATTAATAAGACCTCAAAAGCACAGACAACAAAAGCAAAAATAAATAAATGGATTATATCAAACAAAAAGGATTCTGCACAGTAAAGGAAAGAATCAGCAAGGTAAAGAGACAACCCACAGAGCGGGAGAAAATACCTGCAAACTACTCATCCAGTAGGGGATTTAATATCCAGAATACAGAAGGAACCCAAACATCTCAACAGCCAAAAACAACACAAGTTTTCAAATGGGTAAATGATTTGAACAGATATTTCTCAAAAGAAGACATACAAATGGCAAAGAAATATATGAAAAAGGCCCAATATCACTAATCATCAGGGAAATGCAAATCAAAATCACGATGAGGTATCAGTTCACTCCAGTTATAACGGCTATTACCAAAACACAAAGAGTATCAAATGCTGGCAACGATGCAGAGAAAAGAGAGCTCTTAGACACTCTTGGCGGGAATGTAAACTAGTACAGCCACTATGGAGAAAAGCACGGAGGTTCCTCAAAAAAACTATAAATAGAATTACCATATGATCCAGCAATCCAAGTACTGGGAATTTATCCAAAGGAAAGGAAATCAGTGTATTGAAGAGACATCTGCACCCCATGTTTAGTGCAGCACTGTTCATAATAGCCAAGATATGGACTCAAACCTGGATGTCCAATAATGGATGCATCGGTAAAGACAAGGTGGTGTATATACACAACAGAATACTATCAGCCATAAAAAAGAACAAAATTCTGTCTTTTGCAGCAACACGGATAGAACAGCAGGACATTATGTTATGTGAAATAAGCCAGGAACAGAAAGTTAAACACTGCATGTTCTTACTCATATGTGAAAGCTAAAAAAAGTTGATCTCAAAGAAGTAAAAATTAGAATCGAGAATACTAGAGCATGAGAAGGGAAGGGGGAAGAGAAGGAAATACAGCAATTTGTTAAAGGACACAAAATTACCTCCATCTGGTCACTGCACATTACATGTATTGAAACATCACTGTGTACCCCATGAATATATATAATTACTGTCAATTTAAAATTTTTTTATTAAAAACAGAAACAAAAACCTGACAATTAACAAAATCAAGACTTGCTTCCTTGAACAATCAGACACAGTATTAAGATGGGAATTCTCCCTAAATAGATCTATACATTATTTCTTTTTATTATTATTAATATTTCTAGAGAAAGGTAAAGTCTCACTATGTTACTCAGGCTGGTCTCAAATTCCTGGGCTCAAGTGATTCTCCTACCTCTGCCTCCCAAAGTGCTGAGATTACAGGTGTGAGCCATTGCACCCAGCCTTTTAAAAATCTACACATGCAAAGCAATCTGTATAAAAGTTACTTTTTAATATAAACTGATAAGCTAATCCTATAATTTAAATGATTATGCAAAGGACAAAGACTAGCCAAAACCACTTTAAAAAAAAAAAAAAGTTGGAGAACTTACACTACCTTATTTCAAAAATACACTCTAAAACTAGAAATCAAGACAATTTGGTATTGACATAAAGAAAATCATACAGATCAGTGGAAAACAGAAATAAACCCTTATATTTTATGGTCAGTTGATTTTCAACAAAAGGACAAATGGGAAAAGGATAGATTTTCCAAGGATAGCAAGATGAAAAAAAAAACTTAGACCCTTACCTCACACCATATATAAAAATTACCTCAAAACAGTTCACTGACCTAAGAGTATAAACTAAGAATCTTGAATTAAACACAGGAGAAAATCTTTGTGATCTTGAGTTAATAAGCAAATAGTTGTAAAGACACAACACCAAAAGAACAAACCATAAAAGAAAAAAATTAATGCTGGACTTCATTAAAACTAAAAATGGTCACACTTCAAAAGACACTATGAAAAAAATGAAAATAGAAACCACAGAATAGGAGAAAATATTTGTAAATCAGTATCTGATAAGGGACTTGTCTCTAAACTACATAAAAACTTGCATAAGTTCTCAATAATATGACAAATATCTCAATGCAAAAATGAATTCTGATACATGCTACATTATGGAGGACCTTGAAAACATTACGCTACGTAAAAAAGCCAGACACAAAAGGACAAATTATTGTATGATTCCACTTATATGAAGTAGCTAGAATAAGCAAATTCATAAGGACTGAAAACACAATAGAGGTCACCAGGAGCTGAGGGGAAAGTGGAGTGGGGAGTTACTTTTTAATGGGAACAAAGTTTCAGTTTGAAATGATGGAAACCTTTTGGAAATAGGCAGTAATGATTGCCCAACACTGTGAATGTACTTAATATCACTACATTATATGCTTAAAATGGTTAAAATGGTCACTTTTTCCCACAATGAAGAAAATACAATTTTTAAAAAATGGGCAGAAGACTTACATAGACACTTCACCAATGAAGACACGCAAATGATCAATAAGCATATGAAAAAGTGTTCAAGATCATTAGTCATTAGGAAAGTACAGATTAAAACCACCATGAGACACCACTACGCATCCACTAGAATGACTCCAATACAAACACATAATGCCAAGTATTGCTGAGGCAGTAGAGAAACGGGAACCTTCACACATTGCTTGTGGGATTGTAAAATGTCATAGCCACTTTGGAAAATTATTTGGCTATGTTTTAAAAAGTTAAACATAAGCTCACTATAAAGCTAGTAATTTACCCAAGAGAAATAAAGACATATTTTCATAACAAAGACCTGTCAGTGTTCATAGCAGCTTTACTCCTAAAAGTTAAGAACTGGAAACAATCCAAATGCCCATCAGTTCATGAATGGATAAACAGAATGTGGTATGTCCAGAAAACAGAATATTACTCAGACATAAAAAGGAATATGATACATGTAGGATATGTCTGAACCCAAAAAAGATTATGCTAAATGAGAGAACTTACACTACCTTATTTCAAAAATTTAATCAAAACTGTTTTTTAGAGCCACCAGGCTGGGCCCAGTGGCTCACATCTGTAATCCTGGCACTTTGGGAGGCCGAGGCAGACAGATCACTTGAGCCCAGGAGTTCAAACCCCACCTGGGCAACATAATGGGACTCTGTCTCTACAAACAATGCTACATTATGGATGGATCTTGTAGTATTAAAAATACAAAAATCAGCTGGGCATGATGGTGTGCACCTATAGTCCCAGCTACTTGGGAGGCCCATGTAGGAGGATCGATTGAGCCTGGGAGGTCGAAGCTTTAGTGAGCAATGATCACACCACTGCATTCAAAACAGAAAAAGAATATAGAAAAGAAGCCAGATGCAAAAGACTTCACATTGTAGGATTCTATTTATATGAAATGTCTAGAAAAGACCAATTTCTACAGATACAAAGCAGATGAGTGGTTGTCTGGGGCTGGGGTGGAAGTAGAAATTGACTGCAAAGAGACTTACGTGCATTTTGGGACGGTGATAGCCATGTCCTGAAATTGAATTGTGTTGAGGCTGAACAATTTTATAAAGTTACCAAAAATCATTTAATTGTACATGTTTTGTGACTTTTACATTATATCTCAGTAAAGCCATTAAAATAAATAAGCGAATACAAATCTGACAATGGAAAAAAAAAAGAAATGAGGTTCAATTTTAGAAAGCATAATTCAGATATAATCTCCATGTCAGGAAACAGAAGTTTTCCTCAATCTAGCCATGTATCTATTATTCATATATTTAATAATTACATGTGAAAGATACGAACATGGTGTAGTGAGAGAAAGCCAAGCCCTAAGTGATCTCAAGCTTTCTGAACTAAACTGTGTGGTCCCTGTGCTTGCTCAATAAATAGCAATAAATTTGCCAATTCTAAAAATAAGTAATATTGGCCTTTTATTGGTCTCATTTCAAAGAAAACTACAGCAATAAAAAGGGGATTCTGAGAAGCGATTCAAATACCTACATTGTTTGAGTAATAAACTGTATTACATATAATCATTATGACCTAGAACCATTTGATCTGAAGCAACAAAAGCCGACCTTAGTAATTGACTTAATAGCTGTCTTCAAACACATGAAAGATTTTACAGTGAAACTATTTGATTAGTTTTTCCCTCTCTTCATTAAGAGCCAAATGAAATAAAGTGATTTAATAATCAGCAAGGTAACTTTAGATTAAACATAACACTGACAGTAACTGCTATCAAACACTGGAATAAATTTAATTAGGATATTTCTGCAAGCTGTCTCCTTGGTGATCATTAAGAATAGACAAGACAGACAGCTTTGTTCTTTTTTTCTTTTTTGAGACGGAGTTTCACTGTTGTTACCCAGACTGGAGTGCAATGGCGCGATCTCGGCTCACTGCAACCTCCGCCTCCTGGGTTCAGGCAATTCTCCAGCCTCAGCCTCCTGAGTAGCTGGGATTACAGACACATGCCACCATGCCCAGCTAATTTTTTGTATTTTTTTGGTAGAGACGGGATGGTCTTGATCTCTTGACCTCATGATCCACCCGCCTTGGCCTCCCAAAGTGCTGGGATTATAGGCGTGACCCACCGCGCCTGGCCTGTTCTAAATGCATTACTGCCTGGAAGGTAGGAATTAGACCTGGGTGACCTCCTGACATGGAGCAATTTTGTGGAAAGGGACGTAGGCCACCTGCCTTTCGCACACCTTACCTCAATATCCCGATTGAGTTGCTTCACTATGGCAGTTATGTTTCTGATATGCTCCTCCAAGAAAAGCCTGGCCAAGCGGTCACCTCCCCCTTTGTTTTGCATTTTCTGCAAACTGTTGACAATGTCATCTTTAATCCGAAAGGCGTGCTCTACAAGGGCGGCAGTGGTCTTCTCATGGCAGAGGATCCTGTCTTCCAGTTGCTCCACGAGGCTTACAGATGAGTATGGTGCCATGGTCAGGGACTGGCTGTGTCGGGGCATGGTTCTCACTCTCCTACAGAAGAGAACCATGAGGGTTGTTAATTGGGAAAAAAAAATAATTTTTAAAGCCAGATTCAGGCCAGGCGCAGTGGCTCGCACCTGTAATACCAGCACCTTGGGAGGCAAAGGTGGGCGGATCACCTGAGATCAGGAGTTCAAGACCAGCCTGACCAACATGGAGAAAGCCCGTCTCTACTAAAAATACAAAATTAGCCAGGCATCGTGGATCACGCCTGTAATCCCAGCTACTCGGGAGGCTGAGGCAGGAGAATTGCTTGAACCCGGGAGGCAGAGTTTGCAGTGAGCCAAGATCGCACCATTGCACTCCAGCCTGGACAACAAGAGTGAAACTCTGTCCCCCCTCAAAGAAAAAGCCAGATTCAAAACTTCCCAGAGAAGTTTGGAAATACAAATTATCTATACCTACAAGCTAAATAGGGTTTGAGGCAGGACTTCTGCCTAGAAGAGTTTTCTTCATGAGCTAGGAAAGATCTTTAAATAATCGTGCCCACAGACTCAACTGTGCTAGAAGCAGTCTCCATGACTTCCAAGAGCAGGAGGCTAGCAGAATTGGGCACGCAGACATGTCTCCCCAGTATGATGTATGTTATCAATATCAAGTTAATTCACAATGTCTCCTAACATGCTCTCCTCCTCCGCCCTCTCTGAAACAGTGGTTACAAACTCAGTGCCTACATGGGTCAGGCAGGCGACGCGAATGAGTGAAGCACACTACAAATGAGGTAATAGGGAGTGTAGGGGACTTCGGAGAACTAGAAAGAGCATTTCTCAGCTAAAGGGAGCCGCAGCTCTGCTCCAACCATGAGTGACCATCAGGGATGTCAGATCCCCTTTTCAAGATCATCTGATATTTCAAGAAGAGCTAGCCAATCCAGACTTGTACATGAAATCACCTGATTTTAAAATGTTAACGATTCATTTAAAAAGTATTTAAGTTCAGCGCAGGGGTTCACGTCTGTAATCCCAACACTTTAGGTGGCTGAGGCGGGAGGATCACTTGAGCCCAGGAGTTCAAGATCAGCCAGGGCAACACAGCAAGACCCTATTTCTACAAAAAACTATTTAAAAATTAGCTGGGCATGGTGGCACATACCTACAGTCCCAGCTACTCAGGAGACTAGATGGGAGATCACCTAAGCCCAGGAGGTCAAGGCTGCATGGAGTTGTGACTGTGCCACTGCGCTCCAGCCCGAGCAACAGAGTGAGACCCTGTCTCCAAAAAAAGTATTTAAGAACATGAAGGCCATGCAATGTACTTTCAGGTGCCAATTTTGGGTAACAGGCCCCTACTCTGCAACTTGTGATTTAAAAAGCTTAACAGGGATGTTAGCCTCAAGCCCCCAGAGTTATATTTTACTCTCGACAAGAAATTCAACCCTACTATAAGACTACTGTGAAATCACTACTTCTTAGGGTCACTGAGTGGTCTACAGTATCCTAGAAATTGAAAACTAGAGTACACAATAGTGTTTCTCCTGCCCTTGAACAAAACCATTCTGGGATAATGTAACAGCCCAAGCTTTCGTTTACAACTACCACACCCACGAGCAGCCCCCATGGGATGAGTGGAAAGGAAAAGTATACCTTAGATGCATATTTTCCATATATTATACCTTTCCTTGGTGACACAAGAAGGAAATATGGTGCTCCGTTGGGCCATTTTCTTTTTAATAATTCACATCTGTTGAAAAAATAAGCAGTAAATTATTTAACTGTTATATCTAGAACTTAACCTCAAAAGCTTATTATTAAGTTGCTAAGTGGATCATAAACTATGTTGAAACACTGATCAGTTACATTACTAAATGCCTGATATCTTATATATGAAATAAACAGCATATGTTACCAAACGAGAAAAAAAGCAATCGAGCAGAATCAAAGCACTTCTGAAATTAACACTGCTAAGCCTTGCTGGAGAGATCAACAGGGACTGTGAATGGAGTCTCCTGAAGTTTCCTCACTCCAAATCTGCATCTCAGGCTTGACAAACCACTTTAAACAGAAACCAGAGTCTTTAAAGATCTTATTCAATCTTATACTTCTCTGTAGATATTTGCAGGAAACTATCTCAGTAAATGTGGTCTCAGAAAATTTTTACTACTAATTCCATGGTAAATGAAGAGCACTTATTTCTAAAATTCATCTCAAATAAAGCAGCACACGATCCATGTGATCTGATTCGTTGGCTCATCTCTATCCACCAAGGGAATGAGAATCACATTCTTCACCAGAACTTTAAAACTCAAGATAAAATCCCTCACATTTCATCTTGCAGAGAAGGAACATTTGGTCATCACAACTCATTAGAAATGTGAAAAACTCTAGAGGATGTTTGAAATATGTCGTTATTTAGGTTCCTCAACACTGCCTTCAGTTGCCTTAAAACAATGAATGCCTACTAACCATGATCTGATTCCATAATTCATTCTCACTGAGATGCTGGATTCAGAAGGCGTTTCTGATTGAAATCACTGTTTTGGCATCATGTCTCTAGTGTTTTATTTTTGGAGTTTCAAAATGTGAACATTTCACTTTCTTAGACAAAGAATTTTAAACAAATTACATTTAGGGGAAAAAAAAGTCATTCATGCCAAACAGGCTATGGTGCCCAAAGAGCTCTTCAGTGTCAAAGACGAGAACTTCTGCCATGTAGACCACAGCGGCCCTCCCTTATCTGCGGGGGTACATTCCGAGACCCCAGTGGATGCCTGAAACCGAACCCTATATTACTTTTTCCTACACACACACACACACACACACACACACACACCCATGATTAAGTTTAATTTATAAATTAGGCACAGAACTCTTGCACTTTGGGGCCATTGTGAAGTAAAATACGGGTCGCTTGGTCACAAGCACTGCAATACCCCAATGGTCAATCTGATAAATGGCTATGAAGGGACTCACAGGGCCAGGTATATGCGGCCTGGATATGCTGGACGAGGGAATGATTTCCGTTCTGGGCAGGAGGGAGCAAGATAGCACAAGATTTCATCACACAACCCAGAACAGCACACAATTTAAAACTTATGAATTGTTGGCCGGGCGTGGTGGCTCACGCCTGTAATCCCAGCACTTTGGGAGGCCGAGGCGGGTGGATCACGAGGTCAACAGATCGAGACCATCCTGGTCAACATGGTGAAACCCCGTCTCTACTAAAAATACAAAAAATTAGCTGGGCATGGTGGCGCGTGCCTGTAATCCCAGCTACTCGGGAGGCCGAGGCAGGAGAATTGCCTGAACCCAGGAGGCGGAGGTTGCGGTGAGCCGAGATCGCGCCATTGCACTCCAGCCTGGGTAACAAGAGCGAAACTCCATGTCAAAAAAAAAAAAAACAACACATAACTTATGAATTGTTTATTTCCACAATTTTTAATTTGATAGTTTTGACCTTTTTTGGCCTTGGATAAAATGGAAAGTGAAAACATCGATAAGGGGTTACTACCGTAAATAAAATTAGGACAGCGTGGGAAATGCTGTTATTTAGACTCTCAGAATCTTCACAATTTTAAAGTTGTATGACCCCTCAGTTGCGATATTAATCTACAGAGTAGCCTAACTTAAGAAACCTGTTTTTGGCTTCTATTAGGTAATTAAGTAACCTAAGAAAAACAAAAATCTCTTCCCTCAGGGAAAGTCATCTAAACTAACCAGAAAACAATGGGCTGTGACTCATGCCTGTAATCCCAGCACTTGGGGAGTCCAAAGTTGGCCGACTGCTTGAGCCCAGGAGTTCCAACCTAGCAGTTTGAGGCCAGCTGGGCAACATGGCGAAACCCCGTCTCTACAAAACATACCAAAATTAGCCAATGGTACTGATGCACTCCTGTAGTTCCAGCTACTGTGGAGGCTACTCAGGAGGATCACCTGAGCCCGGGGAGGCTGAAGCTACAGTAGGCCATGATAGTGCCACTGCACTCCAGCCTGGGCGCCAGAGGAGACCCTGTCTCAAAAAGAAACAAACAAAAACAAAAACAATGGGTTAAGTGGCTAACCCTATGAACAAAAACACAACACGGGGAGGGAAAGCAGGAGAGGGGTCGATTTCTCCTGGGTAGCAGCTAGGTCAGGAAGAACTGATGGGAATGAGACGGCTTTCCCGAAGTACGGGATGGAGAGATTGTTGCACACCTCTCCGACACTCCAGCCTCTACTTCCTTTCTTCTGAACACACTCTGGCCTGCCTGACCTGTTCTTCCAGCCTCATATTTGGCCACTCCCTACCACATTCACCTGCTCCAGTCACCCTGAGCCTCCTCCCCCTGCCACCCCACCCACCACTGTCCTTGGATATGTCCTTCTCTCTCCTGCCATCAAGCCTCTGTGCATGTGCTCCATGGGAAACGCCCTTCCCACCCCTGCCAGCCTAGAAAACTCACGCACTCTTTAAGACCCCACTAGACCTTCCAGTCTATCAAATGAGTCTCTCTTTTGTATTTCTCCAGCTCTTTATCTGTTTATATACTATTTATGTTCTATTCTTTATTTTTTTTGAGAAGGAGTCTCACCGTGTCACCCAAGCTGGAGTGCAGTGGCACAATCTTGGCTCACTCTAACCTCCACCTCCCTGGTTCAAGCAATTCCCCTGCCTCACACCATCCCAAGTAGCTGGGATTCCAGGCACGCACCACCACGCCTGGCTGATTTCTTGTATTTTAGTACAGACGGGGTTTCATCATGTTGGCCAGGATGCTCCCAATCTCCTGACCTCATGATCGGCCCGCCTCGGCCTCCAAAAGTGCTGGGATTACAAGCATGAGCCACCACGCCTGGCTAGTTTTTTGTCTTCTTTAGTAAAGACAGGGTTCCATCACGTTGGCCAGACTGGTCTCGAACTCCTGACCTCAGGCCATCTGCTTGCCTCGGCCTCCCAAAGTGCTGGGATTACAGGTGTGAGCCACCTTGCCCAGCCATTCTATTCTTTTTTGTTGTTTAATAGTCTGGCTCCCCTAGTAAACAACATGCTCCTTAAGGGCATGTTTTAAATCTTAATAGACACAGAGCTGACCTGGAAGTATCCATTTATGTTTGTCCATGAATGAGGGAATGACCAGCACTTCCCGATCAGAAACTACAGCAATAAAGGTATAAGACAATACAGTTTAGTTTTTATTTTTATTTTTATTTTTTTTATAATTTAGTCTCCATAGAGACTGCCAAAAATGGCCAACTCTGACTATATTTCAAGTCATCATGGCGGGGTATCGTGAAAAGTTTTCAATTAGCAATAATCGCACCCCAGATAAGCCTCATTGGCTACAATACTGCCACTGCACAGAGCTTTTTTTTCTTTTCTTTTCTTTTTTAAATAAAGACAGGGTTTCACCATGTTGGTCAGGCTGGTCTCGAACTCCTGACCTCATGATCCACCCACTTCAGCCTCCCAAAGTGCCAGGATTACAGGCGTGAGCCACTGCACCCAGCCGCTACAGTTTAGTTTAAAAGTATAATTATATACCGAGCCAGAATCTTAAATATTAGACACTCAGCAAGAATCTGAAAGAATGGAGACTTTGGCATCCCCTTCTCTGAAGGTCATTTCATCTACCTGATCACAGCCACAAAAGCCAAGCCACGCCACTGATTATCAGAGATGGTTTTTCAGAAGCAAACCCTCCTGAGCGCTATGCAGTCCTACGACAGGACATTTCATAAGGCATGAGCTTACGAGATACATTATTCAGAACGGGTGCCCTTTAACACTGTGGCGGGGATCTGCATACCTGGCAGGTCGCTTGGTTTGTTAGCATCACGATTCTCTGCCAGAACGTGGGATGTACATTGCAGATGAATAAAGACTGATAACGAATAAGTCCCAGGATGTTGCAGATAGTCCCATTGTGCATTCTGGCTTACCTGCCTGAGGTTATCAACTCCTGTCCATTTATAAATCTGATCTCTGATATCACAAGTTGGTCTGCAACCTTAACACACAGGTCTGGGTTTTGGGCTGTTTTGATTGTGCTGTGATTCCACTATATTGAACTATATACTAAACCAACTCCACTTTATAAGGTTTTAAAATTGGGGGAAGTTGGGGAAAGGGACAAGTAGGTTAAGCAAGAAGAAAAGAAAGGGAAAAAATAAGAAAAAAAAAATCTGAGCCATACTCTGTGGCCTGTAATCCCAGCACTTTGGGAGGTCGAGGTGGGTGAATCGCTTGAGCTCAGGAGTTCGAGACCAGCCTGAGCAACATGGTGAAATGCTGCCTCTACCAAAAAAAAAATAAAAAATTAGCCAGGTGTCGTGGCACCCGCCTGTAGTCCCAGCTAACTGGGAGGCTAAGGTGTGAGGATTTCTTGAGTACAAGAATTTGAGACCAGCCTGGGCAACACAGCAAAACCCCATCTCTACAAAAGAAAAAAAAAATTAGCTGGGGGTGGTGGCATGCACCTGCATTCCCGGCTACCTGGGAGGCTAAGGTGGGAAAATCACCTGAGCCTGGAAGGTCAAAGCTACAATAAGCCATAACTGCACCACTGCACTCTAGCCTGGGAGACAGAGTGAGACTTTTCTTCAAAAAAAGAAAAAAGAAAGAAATCCAGATGGATTAAAGACTTCAGCATAAGACCTAACACCATAAAAACCCTAGAAGAAAATCTAGGCAAAACCACTCCTAGGACATAGGAGTAGGCAAGGACTTCATGACCAAAACACCAAAAGCATTGGCAACAAAAGCCAAAATAGACAAATGGGACCTAATCAAATCCCACAGCTTCTGCACAGCAAAAGAAACAGTCATTGGAGTGAATCGGCAACCAACAGAATGGGAAAAAAATTTTGCAGTTTACCCATCTGACAAAGGGCTGATATCCAGAATTTACAAAGAACTCAAACAGATTTGCAAGAAAAAAACAAACAAGCCCATTCAAAAGTGGGCAAAGGATATGAACAGACACTTTACAAAAGAAGACATACATGAGGCCAACAAACATATGAAAAAATGATCATCATCACTGGTCATTAGAGAAATGCAAATCAAAACCACATTGAGATACCATCTCACGCCAGTTAGAATGGCAATCATTAAAAAATCTGGAGACAACAGATGCTGGAGAGGATGTGGAGAAATAGGAACACTTTTACACTGTTGGTGGGAGTGTAAATTAGTTCAACCATTGTGGAAGACAGTATGGCAATTCCTCAAGGACCTAGAAATAGAAATTCCATTTGACCCAGCAATCCCATTACTGGGTATATATCCAAAGGACTATAAATCGTACTACTATAAGGACACATGCACACAAATGTTCATTGCAGCACTGCTTACAATAGGAGAGACCTGGAACCAACCCAAATGCCTATTGATGATAGACTGAACAGGGAAAATGTGGCACATATACACCATGGAATATTATGCAGCAATCAAAAATGATGAGTTCACGTCCTCTATAGGGACATGGATGAACCTGGAGACCATCATTCTCAGCAAACTGACACAAGAACAGAAAATGAAATACTGCATGTTCTCACTCATAGGCGGGTGATGAACAATGAGAACACATGGACACAGGGAGGGGAGCACTACACGCTAGGGTCTGTTGGGGAAATAGGGGAGGGACAGTGGGGGGTGAGGAGGTGGGGAGAGATAGCTTGTGGAGAAATGCCAGACATAGGTAAAGGGGAGGAAGACAGCAAATCACACTGCCACGTGTGTACCTATGCAACTATCTTGCATGTTCTTCACATGTGCCCCAAAACCTAAAATGCAATAAAAAAGGAAGAAAAAAATTAAAAAATAAGAAAAAAAAAAGAAAGAATATCCAAATGCTCAAAATATGCAATATATAAATACAATTCAGGAGTTCACCAAAGAGCAGAGTGAAATGCTACTATCTAAATCAAAATTATTATCTGTGATTATGAAGATTCTGTGAAGGGAGAAACGAAAAAAGGAAGTAGATATAGATACAGATGAATATTTTAATGACCAAAGGAGACGTTAATGCCAACCAATTATTACAGCTTTATAAGTAATGGGACACTGAGTAGAAAAACCTGCCACATCATTTTAATGTAAAATGGTAAATAAATTTAATAAAGCAAAATGACAATTTTTATTAAAGCGTTGAATACCAATCGTGTAAAAACGGTTAATTTTTTATTTCACTATTAAAATACAGGGTTGGTACATTACGCGTAACCATCAGAACAAAAAGTAGGCAAAGCACTCATTAATAAAGTGGCTGTAATATGACGATGAGGAAAAAAACCTATTTCCTTATAGCTAAAAACAGAATGAAAGGAAGGAGGGCGGAACAGCGGAAGGTTGGTCTGGAAACAGAGCGGGGACTTGTTCTCTAACTCATCTCCAACAGCACCCTCAGGTCTTTGGACTTGATCCCCAGGCCATGAGGAGTGAGGAAGCTGTGGGATGGTGGAAGGCAAGGGCCTCCCAGGCAGGCAGGAGTCAGAGGAGACAGGGAGGCACAGTGGCGCATGGAGGCGCAAGGCGGTGGCGACTAGACTGGGAATTCAGGCCACCCAGTGATGGGATCAGGCTGCAGGAGCAGGAGAGGCGTGGAGACTCACCCAGCACTTCTCCTTCCCCTCTCTCCTCCTGCCTCCGCCCTTCCCACCCTCTTCCAGATCTTCTCCCTAGCCTCCTCGCCGCCTCCTCTCTTCCAATTTTTTTTTTCTTTCCCCACTATTGATTCCTCTTCATTTTCCTCTTGTTGCCTAGGCTGGAGTGCAATGGTGCAACCTCGGCTCACCACAACCTCCGCCTCCAAAGTAGCTGGGATTACAGGCATGTGCCACCACAGCCGGCTTATGTTGTATTTTTAGTAGAGATGGGGTTTCTCCGTGTTGGTCAGGCTGGTCTTGAACTTCTAACCTCAGGTGATCTGCCTGCCTCGGCCTCCCAAAGTGCTGGAATAACAGGCATGAGCCTCCGCACCGGGCCCCTTCTCTTCTCTTCTCTTCTTTTTTTTTTTTTTTTTTTGAGATGGAGTTTTGCTCTTGTTACCCAGGCTGGAGTGCAATGGTGCAATCTCGGCTCACCACAACCTCCGCCTCCTGGGTTCAGGCAATTCTCCTGCCTCAGCCTCCTGAGTAGCTGGGATTACAGGCACGCGCCACCATGCCCAGCTAATTTTTTGTATCTTTAGTAGAGACGGGGTTTCACCTTGTTGACCAGGATGGTCTCGATCTCTTGACCTCGTGATCCACCCGCCTCGGCCTCCCAAAGTGCTGGGATTACAGGCGTGAGCCTCCGTGCCCGGCCTCCCTTCTCTTCTCTTTACTTCCCATTTGTACTGCCTGCCTTCCTTCCTTCTACTGTCTCTCTCATCCCTCGTTCTCCCACTCTCCGTTTGCACAAATACAGCCCAACGTATTTTTCTATCATAGAAAACATGGCGGTGGGATCAGAAAGGCTCTGGCTTGAAGCCTGTCTCCCCCACTACCAGTGTGACCTCAGCGGGCCAGCCATAGTTGGTTGGGTTGGGGGTTACATAACTCACAGCTGCTCACACGTAACAAGTGTTTACTCACGAAGGGCAGGCACTCATGAAACAGCCTAATGTGCATTAATTCATCCTCACAATCGTCTGTAAAGCACTACTCTCATTATCACCCTTGAACCAGAGGAAACTGAGACTTAGAAATGTTCAGCAACTTCCCCAACATCACGTGACCAAGAAGGAGTAGAGCAGGGATTTGAACCTAGGGCCTCAGCCTCTGCATCACCAGGCATTAGCCACAGAACAGCGTCTGGCCTTGCAGCACTGGATAAGCTTCCAGTAAGGGCTGGTTCGCTTCCCTTCCCTGGCTAATGTCCCTTCATGCACATCTGACGGAATACATAACTATTTTTTAAAAATAAAACTTTCAGCCAGGGTGGTGGATCACGCCTATAATGCCAGCACTTTGGGAGTGATCTCCTGATCACTTGAGCCCTGGAATTACAAGCCCAGCCTGGGCAGCATAGCAAAATACTATCTCTACAAAAAATAGAAAAATTACCCAGGCATGTTAGTGTATGCCTGCAGTCCCAGCTACTAAGGAGGCTGAGGTAGAGGACCACCTGAGCCTGGTAAGTTGGAGGCTGCAGTGGCCTGAGATCAGGCCACTGTACTCCAGTTTGGGTGACAGAGTGAGACCCTGTCTAAAATAAAGACATAAATAAATAATAAAATAATCCTTCATAGACTGTGTGTACCCTGCATTTTCTAACTGACACTACATCATGAGCATCATTCTGTGTCAAGACATGAAGATATACATCACCGTTTTTAATTCTGTGTGTGTGTGTGAGACAGGGTCTCATTGTGTCACCCAG